TTTATCAACTGCAGTGATTCAGTTAACAACTATGAAAAGAAAGGTCGTAAAATGGAGCAAAACTTTAACAACATTTAACAAACATCTCACTTAAGAACAGAAATTTTGGGCTCAATTGTGGTTGTAAGTCAAGGACTACCTGTATCTAGTTGTCAGCAGTAAATCTGTCTGGAATTGAACATTTTTGAGGTAGGCATTCATCTCAGCTTTCTTTTCTTAAAGTGATATACCCCAAACTATGGCAGAATGTAGTTTGTAATGCAAAGCAGGCATTTCACCATCTCATAACTGAAGGCTGTCATTGAAGACCCAGCCAAATCCATTTGGAAGGTGATTTGCATTGTCTTCCCAAAGTGTGCAGTACATCAACGGTTCTATGGTTTCTTCCTTTTATTTGCTTTGAGTCAATGCTTCATTTCTGAATGGTATTTAGAGCATCCCTTCAAAGCTCTGCATAGCCATAGTTATTATCTTGGACCCAACTCCTAATTTCCTCCTCACAACACCACCCAAAGCAAATAGGGAGACTGCATGAATCCAAGGGACATTCCATGGTTTAACATTACATTCAGAAACCTTTTCTCTCTTAAATAAGGGCAGAACCATACTTGCTCATCCCAAATGTTTCAGTTATCCAGAGAAAATTATCATTCTTTACAACAGTCGGTAGTTACAGAATACTGGGATAGCAAATCATGCTTCTCCCCCTCTTCCCACTTGTTTTGTCAATGCATGTAGAAGCTGGGGGGTTATTTTTCATCATTGTGGTAATTTTCACTAATCTGACAAGTATGTTACAGATGTGATTCTTCCGTTTAAAAACTAATACTCACGATTAATATGTTACAATGATGAATTGCTCATTGTAATCTGTCATCATGTGGGGAAAATTGGCATAATTAATGTACAGTTATTGTTATAAAACAGCAATTTGGTAACTCAGGATAATACAACAGAGAAGGGGGAAAAAACCTTCCTTTTTCTGTCTACAATTGATTTTATTTTGTACTTCTAAGGGACAGAGCTTTATAGAATCCAACACAATGGGCTTGTAAAAGACAGTGCACAGAATTCTGCAGACAATCCAGATATGGAACGACTTTCATAGATCTTCCACACATTTTGTCCCAGTAAGTTCCACAAATACAAAGGACAGTACTTGCTATTTAACCTCCTGCCTTACAACAAAATCAACAGAGTTGTTGTTATTGTTGCTTTTACGTAGGGTTTAGAAATGTAAGAAGCAGCCTTGAATAGACAATTAGTCCATCTAGACCCATATTGGCCACGCTAATTGGAAGCAGGATTCTAGACTTATATGAAAATGGCAAGCATTAGATCTGAGACTATGACTTTCTTGTATTCTTTTGGGAGTTAGTGACGAAAAGATCATAAGAGAAGCACTTTTTGCATGCAGCAATAAAGATGTCACTTGTATTATATTGTATTTCATTGTATCATATTTATTCATTCATTCATTTGATTTTTATTCTTTCAGTCCTGTGACTCTTGGCAATTAAAATATAACAATAAAACTAACAGTGGACAGATAGTAACTGATTCAAAAGAGATCAAAATACAATGGAAACAGTATATTAAACTACTATACAGAGAAATGTCAACATCCCAAATACCTTTGAAGATAATTATTTCTTAACAAGAACCTCTAATATTAGAAGATAAAGTTACATCAGCACTTCAGTTATTACTAAGTTAGAAGGCTACAGGAATTGATGAAATATCCACGGAAATATTGCAAGCAGAAAAAAAGAAGCAGTCAAGAAGTTATGCCAACAAATCTGGAGAATTACACAGTGGCCAACCAATTGGTAAACATCAATCTACATTCCAATATCCCAAAAAATGAAACTTTCCACAGTGTGCAAACTGTTGTACAATATCCTTAATTAGAGCCCTACATGAACAAAATGATATCAGATGTTCAAGCCAACTTTAGAAAAGGTCAAGGAACATGAGATATTATTGCTGATTCCTACTGGATAATTTAGAAAGCCAAAAAACATCCAAAAGAAGCCAGTGCATGCTTCATCAATTATAGAAAAATCTTCAATTGTGTCAATAAGGTCAATCTGTGAAAAATGCTCAGAAAAATGGGAATCCCAGAACATCTCACAGTGTTCATGAGAAATTTATATATAGGACAGGAAGCCACACTACAGATAGAACAGGAGTGTCAAACTCATGTCATCACAGTGGTGTCACGCGACGTATCAGGATCCCACCCCCCTTCAATAAACCAGGCATGGGCATGGCCAGAACGTGATGCATCTGGCCCACGGGCCAGGAGTTTGACAGCCCTGAGAGTAAACTTCACCAAGTAAACATGGTGAAACAGTCTGACTCCAGGTTGACAAAGGAATGTGACAAGGCTGTGTACTATCCCCTTATTTATTCAACCTATAATCTGAATATATATTAAGGGTAGCTGGGTTGGAAGAAGCAACTTGATCGCCAACGTCCAATGACCAATATGGCACAAGAAGAAGAAATTGGGTTGGAAAAAGCATGGTTTTAAAATTGGGGGAAATAAATCAGAAAACCTGTACTATAATGATGACACTACCACTCTAGCCAAAAATGCAAAGGATCTGACAGCCCTAGTAGTAAAAGTCAAAGAGAATAGTAAAAAAATTAAATATGAAAAAGACCAAAGTAACAAAAACAAGTAGAACAACCAACCTTAGAATTGACAATGAAGGTACTGAAGGGATGGTTACTTTCTCCCTTTTAGAATCAACCATCCTAATTAAAAGAACAAGCAGCCAAGAAATACACCACAGACTAGCACCAGTGGTAGAAGAGCTATGAAAGCCTTGGAAAAGATATTCAAATGCCATGATGTATCTACTTCTACAAAGATTGCAATAGTGCAAACCATGGTATTCCCACTCTATGGAAGACAAAGTTGTAATTTATAGAAGCAAGACAGGGAAAGTACTGATTGCTCCGAACTGTAGTGTTGGAGAAGATTCCCAAGTATACCATAGACAGCCAAGAAAAAAAAACAAATGGATCACTGAACAATTCAACCCAGAGTTCTTACTGAAGGCACAAATGATCACAGTCCAATTATCCTACTTTTGGGCACGGCATGTGAAGACCCAGCTCTATGAAAAAGAGCTTGTGCTGCAAAAGGCTGAATGAAAGAGAAGAGGTTTACTAGCAGCAAGTTGGATCATGAGTGCACCATTGGGAGACTTGAAAGAACAGGTTAGGGATAGAGAATCAAGAAAAAAGATCTACATGATCACTAGGAGTTGAAAACACTTGACAACACATACTTAATCAAAGTTTTCTATAATATTCTGTTTCTATCCAAGAAAGCAAGCTTCAGCCTTTGGATCTTACTTACCTTTTGAAGCTCACCAGAAAGAGTATCAAAAACCCTCTCTTCAAAATAATATTGAGAGATGTAAATATATATTTTTAGACCTGAACTCCTTCACTAAAGCAATTTGCATCCAGAGAAACTGAGTTTTTGTTTTGTTTTTCTTGCTCATTTGTTATTCTGCCTGCATTTTGAAAATGTGCAGGTATAGTGTAGCCAGAGGTATCCCAACAATTCTTTCATTAATTCAATGCGACATTATATCTCCTGGGTCAGGGAGGAACTGCCATCTTTCCTAATGTTACACACACAGATAAAAGATGATGAAGCGTTATATGAGCCAACAGAAAAAGGGATTCTCAAAACAGCAGCATCAGAAATAAACATGATGCAAAAGTCATTCAACGAAGCCTTAGCATGAAAGCAAACTGACACAGTAGTTTATGCCTTTCATGACTCAGAGTAGCCATTTTTTTTAAAAAAAAATGGAAAGCTTCTATGTATGACAAATGAAAGCACAGCAGATAAAGCTTTAATTAGCATGAAACCATGCTGATGAGAACTTGCTGAATTTCATTCATCCATGAAGCTATTAAAAGTAAAGCAGCACTGTCAGTCAAAAACAGACAATTCTAAAAAAATGTATTGCCCCATGTTTACTGAGAAATAAATCATTGTTTTCACTGGGATTTAACTTTAGTATGGTTTGAGCCTAATCCTAAAGTGTTTATCCCAAAGTGTCATTCCATTCAATTATGTTTACTTTCTACTACATTACTGTTGTAACCTTCAACTGGCAACACTTGCAGTTACAGACTAATAATTCCACATCAAACAAATTCTTGCAATTAGTTAAAGGAAAATGGTAGGGCGAGGGATGCCAACTTTATTGTTGTTTTTGCAGCCAGGAAACATGCAAAATTTGGGCTGGGATCCATTTATGAAACAAAGTATTTCCAGCACAAGTAACAAGGATTATGTAAAATATGAGAATGTGATTCATTTTAAAGGATGCTTTTAGGGCTGTCATTCTCCTATCCCTGGCAGTTTGACAATGATTTCATCATCTGCTTTGGGATACAAATTCAGCCAGTCCTTTTCCAGCTTAAAGACAAAGGGATGGTAAGCTTCATTTGCTAAGCATCTGTCCAGAATCTGATTGTTTGGAGTGGGGGAAGGGCCTCATTTGTTAAGACGGTTGCCAACTGACCCAAAGACTATCCGTCTAAGCAGCTCTTATGTCCTAACACTAAGTTAAGGCTTCAGTATGACACTTCTCTTCACATGACATGCATCAAGCAAATGCAAGTATAAAGGCCACCTTAAAAGTTGACAACTTTTCAGGTGGAATCTGCACTCTTATTTCACAATGTTTTGGCTATTCCGAAACTTTATAAAGAATTTTCAAACCAACAATTATTTCTAACCTTATTTTGACTACAACAACTTTTGCTCGGAGTGGATAAAAGTAAAGCAGCGAATTGCTGTGACAAAGCTTTTCTTAAAATATAAATAATGTTAACCAGTCGCTGATCTTCCATAAATCTGGGGAAGCCTCCGCAACCACTTAAAAATAGGGATGGAGTAAATAATTAAATATATAAATAAAGAAGGGAAACAGAGTCGCGGGGGGGGGGGAGATCGCTGTGAGCGGGAAAGCCAGAAGCAGAGGAATTAGCTAAACAAAAGAAATCATGGCGGAGCGTTTCTATTTGGCACCCTCAAAGGCTGTGAGGATTGTGGACTGGAAAAACTCTCCCAGAGGGCAAGAGTGTCGCTGCGGCCGGGTAAGTGGGACAGCAACCCGGGGGCAACGGTGAAAAACCCTTCCTGAGTCCCCCTTTCTCCTTTCAAAAAGCCCCTTTCCCCGCTGGCTCCCTTAGCCTCCGCTCCCCTATTCCCTAGGACAGGACTGGGAGCTAATGGGTTGTAGCCGCGTCATAGGACGGGAAGGTTTTCTGGTCGTTTACGCAACGACCGGAGCGCGCGACGTGTGCCAAAGCGTGTGGCTTTGCGCAACGGCCGGGGCGCATCGGGGCGCTCGGTCTTCTAAGTAGAAACTCAGAGGGGGGCTGGATCTCGCAAGCGAGGGTTGCAGCTCTCTTGTTTTCAGCAAATGAACTCGCGGAGGGGGAGGGGGGCTTTGAAAGGCAGCCAGAGGTCCTCACCCTGCCGTCTGGCAAAGGAGTTTGGCTGCGCCTGTTCGTTTGGAGAGAGGGAACAAGGCAGGCGAATAAGGCGGGATCCTGTCTTCTGGGAGAAGGACGAGGAGAAACGGGGGTGGGGGGGGCGGACGGAGGAAAGCCCTCTTGCTTTTTGAGAGAGCGTCCTTGTGGATTGTATTCCCAAGTGAAGCGTAGAGAAGAAAACAGGTGCTTAGCTTTAAAGGGGACGAGGCGTGCCGGGCGTTTTGGTTTTCCTAGTGAGGTTCGATTAGGTCAACCAAACCGCTGTGACTTCCTTTGTCATAAACGAGCATCCGATGACGGAGTTGTATGATAAAACAGATCAATTTCTGAGCACACATACAGTAGTTGTCCTTCCTGCATTGCAGAATAAGCAACAAAGCCCTATTTTTTACTTGTCGGTTGGTTAACATTCTATCAAAAAATACCAAACAGACATCTTATACTGATGGAAGAGAATTTGCAGCTCAAAGTTAAATTCTGTTCTTGGTTGTTTTCTTGCAGACGTTTTTATTACCAAACTAAGTAACATTATCAGTGTTAGAAGGGAGTGAGTTTTGCTTTCTTTATATGCTAGTGGCTTGCCCTGTCATGTTGCAGTGAGTGTTCTTGATGGGTCCTTCATTGGGCTGTTGTTTGCTATTAGCTTGTTTGTCTGTTACCTAGTTTCAAACATCTACAAGAAAACAACCAAGCTAGTCAAAGCACCAGGGACCCTACCGATATCTAATGCTACAACATGTTACACATTTATTCCATTTTGTTCAATAAGAAGTAGATATCTGGGCAGTGTACAAAATGCCCTCCTGCCATCTTGCTTTCCAATTCAAAATGCCCTCTTACAATATCATTGTTCACTTTTCAGCCTGGCTTGCAGCCCATGATATTTTTAGTTGTTCCCTCACCAACATACCAATTTGAGCTAGTTCTCCTTAGCTTCTGAGATCAGTCAAGATCTCCTAGGTACTGGGTAGTTGTAATGATGTTTGTGCATGCAGTACAATTTTAAAAAATACTAAAACATGCAATAATATTGATAATAAAATACTTTGCATTTTCTACCATGCTGTCACAGATTGGGCACATAAAAATCACTTCACTATAGCTATCTTCTTTGGACTATGCTTCAATACAGTATGAGGGACTAAAAATGTGTTGCAGAGTGTTTATGCACCAAAGTTCAAAATACAAAGCAGAGCAACACAGGATTGGCTGGATGTTTTCAAGCATCACTACCAAAGAACAAAAAAAACCAGTATCTTTATTGATCTATGAAACTACTGTACAAGTGTTAGTAACCCAGGAAAATGTTGAGCATTGATTCTTCATATATTTCGGAGGCAGTTTTTGCATTTGGAAATGCAAAACCATACACCCCAGGAAGAATATGAGCACGTAACATTATCAGTCTTCTCTGTTGCCTACAAGAACAGATCCAGGCAGGAAATGTAGTGCTTCCGGAAAGGAGATGAAGCAAAAGTAGAATATTCTTTTACACAAAGTCTGATTTTGAAGGATATGGCTCTTGGGTTTTGTGAACTGCTATTAAAGAGGACTTCCATTCCCCTTATAATATTCCATTTACCATGAAATACTTTTCTTTTACATTTTAGATAAAATATAGATAAAATATACATTTAGATAAAATATATAAAAGAGCTGAGGTGGCACAGTGGTTAGAGTGCAGTACTGCAGGCTACTTCAGCTGACTGCTAGCTGCAGTTTGGCAGTTCAAATCTCACCGGCTCAAGGTTGACTCAGCCTTCCATCCTTCCGAGGTGGGTAAAATGAGGACCCAGATTGTTGGAGGCAATATGTTGACTCTGTAAACCACTTAGAGAGGGCTGTTAAAACACTACAAAGTCTATATAAGTCTAAATGCTATTGCTATTGCTATTCAGTGTCTTGCAGAAGACTCACTGGAATGAAAACTTTGGGCGGATCAAGGATGATGGTGTGGGTATTCCATAGATAAATAGTGCTTTTCTATAGGCTAGAATTTCACCATATTTCATCCCACTCCAGGGGAAGGATACTGCAAAATCCCCATTCCCTCCCCACTCCTGGGGGAAGGATATTGCAAAATCTCCATTCCCACCCCACTCTGGGGCCAGCCAGAGGTGGTATTTCCCAGCTCTCCGAACTACTCAAAATTTCCGCTACTGATTCTCCAGAACCTGTCAGAACCTGCTGAATTTCACCCCTGTTCCTATCTCTTCTGGATTTTCCAGTGCCTTTCTTTCTATGTCTCTATAGCACCTGCTTTAGCACTTTCTATGTCTCTGTACCACCTGCTATAGCACTTCCAAAACACTTCTGCCTGAAAAACATATGTTTGGACCAAACACACATTTTATTATAGACAAGGAGCACCAGAAACTAGCCATCTTTTGAATGTCCCCATTGAATATATACTACTTACTGCTTTTTGTTCAGTTCAAATTTTATTTCGGTCAAAAACAGGTATAGAACAAAACAATTAACAACATGTTTAAAAGTAAGAGAGGAAGGCTAGACGTATAGAACTTAAGCTAAAAAGATAGTATAGAGTACTATTACTATATCTCTAAAGCTAAAAAACTATTTTAAGCTCAGTCTACAATAAAGATATTTACATAAATCAAAACATTTTCTATAATACCTATCACTACTACATCATTATCCTAGCCCTCATTTTTAGAACTTGTTGCTCTTCCCTTTTCTACATCATTTCAAGAAGGAAGTTTTGGGGAACTGAATCCAGAGTAGACCTGTTTAAAATGATGGAATATTTGTCATTATGAAATTAAATCCCATTCATTACAGGGGGTCTAGTTTTAGTATGACTAAATCTGGTACAAACAACTAACTATTAGAAATCAAATTGGTTCCCTTGACAAGCTCATGTCAATGTAAATGTAAGCATTTCTACTCATTCAACTTTTGATTAGACTCTCTTAGGGCATTCAGATACATTAGATGTTATTGTAAGTAATGTATCACTTACGTTTTTTTTAAAGGTAAAATTGAAGCTCATTTAATTGATGTGAGATTCTGATGATCAAAACATATAGACATGTAAAATGTATTGCTAGGATAATTACTATCACTGTGTTCCCTGTGCACTTATTGTCAAACAGTTTTATAGGAGGAAAAAGTATTAAAGAACTGGGACATTGCCAAGTAGCACATATTTAGTGGCATAGTTGACTTCTCTCTCTCCCTGAATACAGTATACACCTACACATACATTTTTCTATGCAGCCATATTCAAAGACAAAAACAATTAAAGTGATTATTTACAGTAATAAAAACACAACTTAAACATATATTAAACTGTCTTTAAAAGGTCAAGACATCAACATAAGTAAATTAAAGCACATTAGAAATGGTCAAAGTAAGCTACTACAGTAAAAAAAAAAGTCTAGCAGTAATTAGTATTCAATATTAAAGTGAATCTTAGTTGCTCATATTCGGAAGGGGTGGTACACTACATTACTCTTTCAGTGTTACTTCTAATAGAGATGAAGTACAGAACTAAATCTTCCTTATCACTGAAATTTATTTATTTTATTTATTTATTTATTGAATTTATATTGCTGCCTATTCGCTCATGGCGACTCAAGGCAGCTTACAGAATATAAAACCACATTTAAAACAATAAAAACTATCAAAAAGAATCAAATAAATTAATATAATACAAGATAACAAAATCACCCCCACCTCTTGGTGACTGTGATTAAGAGTGAGGCTGAAGATTGATCCTAAAATAAGCAGGGGAGATTCCTGTATGGGTTTTCTATCAAGTTAGCGGACCGGGAAGTTCAAATACTCCATATATTTCTGTAGAGTTTCTCTTGGTATTTCCTCCACTAGTCTTGTTCACCTGATGATGTGGCATCTCTTGCTTTGCTGTCTCACTCCCACTTTTTTTATATATACTCAAGTGAAGATTTTTTTGCCCATTTGTCTTGATTCCAAGAACCTGCTGCCAAAGCGATGGAGAATTAGGTTCCAGCGGCTTACGTACACATTCTCATTCCAGGCTGACAGCATCTGTGAGCTTATCACTATCATACAAGTAATAATATTAGATGTAGAACCTGTACTCCAATTTGCATATCCTTCCGAAGCATTTCCAGTAAATTTGATTTAATTGATTCCCCAGAATCTTCTGTAATTTATTTTGACTTTGGATTTGCATTTCAACTTGTTATAACTGGGAACTTGACTGGTAAAGAAATTAATGTTATAGTAAAATTTCCACTTAAAGTTGCTTAACAACTTTTGCTAAGTATAAGTGTAATGTTGCTTAGCAACTTAGCAACTAAAGTTTTGGAGGTCCTGAAACATTCCCTGAACTACTATTATTATGTCTTGAAAACTTCATCCATTCATCCATTCTATTCTTGATCCATTTTTAATCAGTGCTTTGTTTGGCACAATGCATCCTTTCACTTTGACTTCTTTCTACTGTTATGTAATCCTAGCCAAAGATCACATTATGAATATTTTTATTTATTTTGTCATTACATTTATATTTTCCCTTCCTTGTAGAAGGTCAAGGCACCATATCTAGCACTCTTACAGTATCTCCTTGCAATCTCAGCTCTGTAAGGAAG